AGATTTAAATAAAGGTTGTCAAGGCAACATTACTTTCCTGTGACTTATTTTTCTATGGTAATTGTTGATAATTAAGTCTTTCTTTCTTTCATTCAATAAACATTTATTGAGCTAGAAAAATAAAGGTTGCAAATTTATTTTAATTAATGTAAAAAACATGAAAACTTACGGATAATGTTGATTAGTAAAGTGACTAAAACTGAAGCTACTTAACCCCATAAGCCAAAGCAATATGAATAAAATATGGCCTAAGGCACAATTCTGTGCAAAACATGATTAGGCTTACATATAGGCCTTAACATTATGAAATTACAGTACACATGATTTTTAAAAATCTTTTATATGGGCCTATATACATAAAAAGTTACTTTCAAAACTAAAAATGTATAATATTTACTTTTTTTATTTAATTAATGTTTCATTTATTTTTGAGACAGCACAAGTGGGGGAAGGGCAGAGAGAGAGGGGGACAGAGGTTCCAAAGCAGGCTCCAAGCTGATAGCAGTGAGCCCAACGCGGGGCTCAAACCTACAAACCACAGGATTGTGACCTGAGCCGAAGTCGGATGCTTAACCAACTGAGCCACCCAGGCGCCCCGATATTTACTTCTTTAAAGTACACTCTGTGCTTGGTTTTTCTGTGCAAATACTCAGTTGTGTGCTAAACTTGAGCTGAGCAAACACAGATTTCATTTTCAACTGAGATGAGACCGTTTCTGTACTTGCCCTGACATTTAAAGAACAAGACAGAGCTTGCTTACATGCACAGAAAAGGCACGTTAGGAGCGCACCATTTGCTACATTGCTGTGACTGGCAGGACTTCTTTCTTTATAGAGATCTAGAACTGGGGCACCTGGGTGGTTCACTCAGTTAAGCGTCTGACTCTTGATTTTGGCTCAGGTCATGATTCCATGGTTCATTGGTTTGAGCCCTGCGTTGGGCTCTGCTGACAATGTGGATGGAGCCTGCTTGGGATTCTCTGTCTCCCTCTCTCTCTGTCCCTCTCTCTTTGTCCCTCCCCTGCTCACGTTCCCTCGCTCTCTCAAAAGTAAATAAACTAAAGGGGCACTTGGGTGGTTTAGTCGGCTAAGCGTCTGACTTCAGCTCAGGTCATGATCTCACAGTTGGTGAGTTCAAGCCCCATGTCAGGCTCTGTGCTGACAGCTCAGAGCCTGGAACCTGCTTCAGATTCTGTGTGTGTCTCTCTCTCTCTGCCCCTCCCTCATTCGCACTCTTTCTCTCTCTCTCTCAAAAATAAATAAACATTAAAAATAAATAAACTAAAAAAAAGAAAAAGGAAAGAAAGAAATGTAGAACTTAACCTCAGGCAGAGCAATAAATCACACTGTGAATGTATGATTGGACTGCAGCCTGCAGAGTTCTTGCTTTCTCCCGGTGAGCAGATTTGGAGAAAGGTCTCTCCCCAGCCATATGCTTGTGCTCGAGGTGGACGACACTGCTCGGTGTCGCCTCGGCACTCTCTCAGGTCGCTGCCTGTGAGCCCCCAGTCTTGCTGCTGTCCTTCCTGACTTCAGGCACAAGCAACATTGGGAGCATTTCAGGATTTCCTTTTTTCCCCTTTAAGTGGAGATAAAATTCGCACATAAAAATCACTATTTTTTTTTTTAATTTTTTTTTCAACGTTTATTTATTTTTGGGACAGAGAGAGACAGAGCATGAACGGGGGAGGGGCAGAGAGAGAGGGAGACACAGAATCGGAAACAGGCTCCAGGCTCTGAGCCATCAGCCCAGAGCCCGACGCGGGGCTCGAACTCACGGACCACGAGATCGTGACCTGGCTGAAGTCGGACGCTTAACCGACTGCGCCACCCAGGCGCCCCAAAAATCACTATTTTAACATGTACAATTAAGGGGTATTTAGGACAGTCACAGTGTTGTGTAGCCGTCACCAAAGTCTGTCCCTTTCCATTCCTTCCCCCCCAGCCACTGGCAACCACTGTGTGATCATCTGGCTCTATGTGTTGGACTCCTCTAGGTACTTCATGTAAACCCAGTCATCTGATACATGGCTTTTTTGGTCTGGCTTCTTTTACTTAGCATAATATTTTCAAGGTTCATCCACGTTGTAGCATGTTTCAGTACTTAATTCCTTTTCTTGGCTTAAGAATATCCATTGTAAGATAGATCACATTTTATTTCTCCATTCAGCAGGTGATGGACATTTGGGTTGCTTCCACTTTTTGGCTGTGATAATGCTTGCTGTGAACATTCCTGGGCAAGTGTTCGTGGGGGCATATGTTTTCATTTCTCTGGAATGTAGGCCTAGGTTTAGAATTTCTCTTATCTCATACATTGTCTTCAAAAATTGCTACTTTGGGCTTCCAAGAATATTTTTAAAACATAAACACGAATAAAATGTAAAACAGAAAGGCATAATTAATAATTAAGCAAGAAATTACCAGAAAAGAAAAGAAAATGTCACAATACAATTCATTTTTCACCTTCATAAACCACATTTGTTAATGTTGGTAACAGCAACAAGTGGGGGTGGGGGGACAGTTCCTGAGGTATACAACCCTTTAGAAAGAAAAATTCCCTCCAATTTCCTATTAGGTAGATGTTATAATAGGTCCTGTGGATCAGTCCTCAGCATGTGAGGAAATGTTGGGGGAGATGTTTCTGGACAAAGAGGCCAATGTCATCAGCCGACGGTCCTCCCCATGCACTACACACCCACCACTTGCCAGCGACCTGTTGGAGAATGAGGTAGTAGTTGGGAGTTTTGGAGCAGGGGACCCGGCAGATACCACCTCAGCTAAGTGGTCAAGGCCAGCATCACACGATCTGTCATGGTGATGGCACGCACACCCTGGTATGATGAGATGAGAAGGTACCTCACCTCTGTGGAGTTCTCCCCAAAACCCATCCCCTCATTAGAACCAGGGGGAAAACACTAGACAAGCTAGAATTAGGGACATTCTACAAAATACCTGGCTGGAACTCCTCAAAACTGTCAAGGTCATGAAAAAAACAGGGAAGGACCAAACTATTACAGACCAGCAGAGACCTAGGGTTTAAGACAAGTAAATGCAATTGTAGTTTTCTGGTTCAGTTCCTGGGACAGAAAGAGGACATTAGGGGAAAAACCAGTGGCGTGCAGATGAAGCTTGGAATTTAACTAACAGTAACGTACGAGTGTAAATTTCTTAGCTTTGACAGAGATACTCAGTTAAGATGCTAACGTTAGGGGAAACTGGGTGAAGGGGTATCAGAACTCTGTACTGTCTTGGCTACTTTTCTAGAGGTCTAAGATCATTCTGAAATGAAAGTTATTTTGGGGGTGCTTGGGAGGATCAGTTGATTAAGCGTCTGACTCTGGCTCAGGTCATGATCTCGCGGTTCGTGAGTTTGAACCCTGTGTCGGGCTCTCTGGAGCCTGATTCAGATCCTCTGTCCCCCCCCCCCCCCCCCCGCCTCTCTCTCTTTCCCTCAAAAATAAACATTAAAAAAATAGATAAAATGAAAGTTATTTTTAAATGCTATGTAAACAAAAAATCTGTAAGGTACAAAGGAACAGAGATTTATAAGATCTCTATGGTGATTAAAAAAAAAAATCCTTGAAAAACACAACATGCTTGAAAAAAATGGAGAGACAGAACCATGTTCATGGACTAGAAGACCCGGTTTACAAAGATTTCAGATCTCCCCAAATTTTACTTGTAAATAAATTAGTATGATTACAGTCAAAAGCCTACCTTTAAAAAAAAAGAACTTGACAAGCAGCTCCTTTCAAATAGTTGTGAGCCCAAAGGGCTGGGCAATGCCAAGACCGTTTCAAAGATGAGCCACGCGAGGGGACTCGTCCTAGCCCATGGCAGCACCAACTGTAAAACCACAGCAGTGGAGACTGCAGCCACGGCGTGGAGGTAGAGTGACAGCCCGCCCGCTAGAAGAGATCGGGGCCCGAGGAGCCCGGAGACGGCTCAGAGGTGTCTCTATGAGGAAAGGAGACACTAGTAAGTAAATGATGTGGGGACCATTGATGACGAAAGTAGGAAAAGCAACACCAGTTCCATAAGGAAAATGAAAAGCAATACTTTATAATTTGTAGGAAAAAAATATAGAATATTCTTTCGACCTTGGAGTTAAGAGAATTTGTTCAAAAACCTCAAAATCAGAAAAGATTGATAAGTGCTTACATTATTTTTAAACTTCTGTATAACAAAAGGCACCAACAAAATTAAAAGACAAGCCTATTTTCTCAATATATGTAATCAACCCAGGATCAGTATCCGGAACATAAGCAGTTCTTCAGATATCTAAGAAGAAGGCAAACAACCGGGGTTTTTTGTGTTTGTTTCGTGTTTGTTTTGTTTTCTGTTTCTACACATGATGCAGTTCTAAGGAAACTACGATTATAAACATAAGAAATGGTACCTCGTAAGTTTAACAAATATGTCCGTGCTCTTCTCTAGTCACTGGTGTCGATATTCTACTAGGATTTTATTTTGAGCTTTTTTCTTTAATATTTGAAGTGCATTAGTACATTTCATTCTGTAGAATGTATTTTTTATTATCAACTTGGTAGTTTTGGCCTCTGCAAGTGCTGGCCAGCATTCCCAGTAGCGGTACCTGACTGGCCAAGACGTGCGCCGTGCACCCCGTGTGCGTCTGATGGCCACACGCAGCATTTTAGTGAATGGCCATGCTGGGCCAGCTTGTTAATGTGCTTCTTTGAAGACTGAGAGGCACACTGCTTCCTGATACAGTAAATAAGTATTATAGAGGGCAGTTTTCAGTGTTCCCTGTTTAATGTTGCAGAATCGCTTTTATGTACACTTCTCGTGCTTATGTGTTACCTAGATTATTTCCCACTCACACTCCTGCTTTTACTTCATTACAATTAAAATTTAGTGCTTATAATATCCTTGAATTCTAATGTATATGTGTATATTTATTTAAATCTATTTTTATTTATTTTTTGCTTTTGGTTGGAGTCCTTTTATTTCTGGAATAAGTAAGATGTGGTTTTTTTCTAGAGCGTCCCATACCCTTTGATCACATGATGTACGAACATCTTCAGAAGTGGGGGCCACGCAGGGAAGAAGTGAAATTTTTCCTTCGACATGAGGATTCCCCAACCGAGAGCAGTGAGCAAGGTAGCCGAGTGCTTTCCCCGTTTGTTAATTCCTGCCGTAACAGTTAATTTAAGTAAAATAGGAATAGATGTTAAATCGTTCACGTTTTGTTTTCCCTTTGCTCACAAGTGGGGAGAGGGGGAGGTGGGATCTCCCGTTTCTTTGCCCTCTGTTATTGCAGTTGACAGTTGCTCCGCCCTTGCTTCCGCCCTTGCTTCCGTCTCAGGACCCTAAGTCAGTCAGGTGATGTGTTCAGACACGTGTGGGCTGATGTGAGGGCTCCTGCTGTTGAAAGAAACCGTTGATAAATACCGGATGCATCGAATATCCAGAGTTTAAGAATAAACGAAACCACGAAAGGATTAGAAGAATTCTGAGAGATACGGGTTTTACTTAAAATTTTTCGAGGGAACAAGACTTTTCTAAGCCTAACACTAGGCCATAAAAGAACCGAATTACTGAAAACAGAAGAACCCGCCCCCCACACGGCTTGAGTGGCAATAACCACCCTGGGCAAAGTCAAAAGGCAAATTATAAGCTGGGAAACAGCATTTATAGCTCATATTGTAGACGGCTGACTATCTTTATGTATAAAAGTTTCTAAAAATTGATAAGGAAAACCCGTTTAAGAAAAGGGGAAGTCTGCAAAGACAGGTCACAGAAAAGTGAATCCGCGTGGCCCTAGGGTATGCGAAAAGATGTTCAGCCTTACTCCTCATAAAAGAAATGCAGAGAAGACAGGGGGATAGTGTATCTCACCTGCTACATCGGCGAGGACTAGAACATTTAATGACAGCGTTGGCCAGGAGCTTGAGAAACAGACACTCTGCCATGTTGCCGTGGGAGTGTCGGTCAGCGGCTTCTGTGGAGGGCAGTTTAGCGATATCTGTGAGACTTAGGAAGGCACCAGACCTCTCACCCAGCAGCCTCACTTCTGAGAACTTATCCTAAAGCTGTGCCTACACATGCGCACAGTGATGTGCACGCAGCGTTAGTAGTCATGGAACCCTGCGGTGGGAGCCACGGGAGGGCCTGCCGTGGGCGTCGGGTTACGGGAGTGGCGGTGCAGCTGTGCAGGGCGCCACTCTACGGCCACAAGTCAGGAGTAGCTCTGTGCCCTGAGCTGGTGGTGTAGACCATCTCCCGAACAGGTGAGTGAGCACAGTGCCCCACCACATGCGCGTTGTGCCGCTGCCGTGCACCAGGGACAGAGCGTAATTCTGTCCATTTGCATCGGCTCGTCCCTGTGTAAAGTGGCTCTGGAAGCATGGTCAGAAACTGGTAACAGTGCCAGCTGTGGGGGATGGCTGCAGGGTGAGGGAGGGAGGGCAGATGTCTAATTGTATACCTGTTCGTTCCTTTTGAACTTTGAACCATGGGAATATGCTTCCTATTTTTGAATTCGAATTTAAACAAAGTAAGAGAATCTCTTGTAAAAGTATGTATACTGCCTTGAAGAGATCCTTAACTTGTTATTCAACAGTGATTGTGGATTACTTCCGGTATTTAAAAAGAATAAACGAGGGGCACCTAGGTGGCTCAGTCAGTTAATGTCCAACTTCGGCTCGGGTCACGATCTCACGGTCTGTGAGTTCGAGCCCCGCGTCGGGCTCTGTGCTGACAGCTCAGAGCCTGGAGCCTGCTTCGGATTCTGTGTCTCTCCCTCTGTCTACCCCTCCCCTGCTCATGCTCTGTGTCTCTCTGTCTCTCAATAATAAATAAACGTTAAAAAAAATTTTTTTAAAGAATAAACAATAGGGGCGCCTGGGTGGCGCAGTCGGTTAGGCATCCGACTTCAGCCAGGTCACGATCTCGCGGTCCGTGAGTTCGAGCCCCACGTCGGGCTCTGGGCTGATGGCTCAGAGCCTGGAGCCTGTTTCCGATTCTGTGTCTCCCTCTCTCTCTGCCCCTCCCCCGTTCATGCTCTGTCTCTCTCTGTCCCAAAAATAAATAAACGTTGAAAAAAAAAAAAAATTAAAAAAAAAAAAAAGAATAAACAATAAAGGGATATCCTTTTGTAAAAAGAATATTCCCTTATTGCACATGATTCCCTTTTATTTGTATTTTATCAAAAAAGACATTCTGCTCCTAGAATGAGCTACCAGCTACTTTAAAATCATGTTTCCACAGTTGTAAGTGGAGTTCAGTGCTGTTTTTACAATGCACCTTCACTTCTGGGCTTGCTTCTATCTGCTGCTGGCCATCTGGAGTCAGGAGACCAGATCCAGCTCCTCGTCCGCTTTTGCCTTAGCCGAGGGCCCTGCCTCGCTGCCCAAAAGCCTCCCAAGAAGGAGGGCTAGACTAGCTGACAGCTGAAGTGCTATTCTCGTGCGGAGAATTTGTATCCGCTCCCTAGCCGAGCTCTCCAAATACTTACATCCCTCTTGGGCCTAGCTACACTTAACTTAAAGGTTTTGTGATTTACTCATACTAACACAGTATGTGTACATCCCCGTTAATGTCCTGGGTGGAGGGATGGGGGTAAGGCCTTATTCTCACCTCACGGAGTTCAGAAGCATCAGGGATACTTAAAGAGAACTGTTCAGGCGTGAGAAAGGTGACAACGCTGACCTTCCGGTGGACCTTCATCATCACCCCACAGCACTGCTCAGCCCAGTGGTGCTGACACAGCAGGTACACAGATGGGAGGAGAGGATGTTGAGCTGCGTGGCATGAAGGAGACTGCCGTCAGCACAGAGCATTTAGAGAAGGCAGACTAGGGACCTTGAGGGATGAGCGGGATGCAGAGGGGAGAATGCAGGGCACCGGGATGAGGAAGATCCCAGGAAGGTGCGGTGATGGGGAATTCACAGGGCAACCCGGGCTGGCTGGGACTGTTGGGCAGGACTGGAAGAACCAAGTTCATCGCAACTCTCATGGCTTTACAGAACTTCCGGCAAAGTCCCTGCCATCCTACTCGGCGCTCCTCAGCTTGGCTTAGGTGGCATTTGTAGTAGGACCCTACCCACCTCTTCAGCCTCCCTGCCCCTTCTTTCTCCGTTTCAGCCACGTCCCTTCTGGCACCTTCATTCTCTGTTGTCCCCAAATCACAAGGCCGTCCCCACACCCTGCCCCCCGTGCTCTCCCCTCGGCCCTGGTTTCTCTGCCTGTGCTTGGGCATACTGCGCCCCTGTCTCAGAACCCAAGGAAGGAGACGGCACGGCACGTAAAACAGGTGCTTTGTTCCGTTTTGTTCGTGTTCACTGAGCTGCTCCTCCAGTTCAGACTTTAAGCAGCCAGAGTTGAGGATCCAAGGCTCATGTTTCCTCTGTGCTTCCCACAGAGCTGAGTACAAGGCAGTTGTCACCAACTGATATTATTTAAAAGGGATTAACATCTGTGGTTAAGCATCCGACTCCGGATTCTGGCTCAGGTCGTGATCTCCCAGTTTGTGAGTTTGAGCCCCATGTCAGCGTGGAGCTTGCTTGGGATTCTCTCTCTCCCTGTCTCTCTGCCCCTCCCCTGCTCCCTCACTCGCTCGCTCACTCTCTCAAAAATAAACTTTAAAAAAAGGGGATTAACTAATTACATTTGAGTGTTTATTGTGTAGAACTACAAGATACATAACAAAAAGTAAAAGACCTGCCTCACCAGAATGGTAAAGATTCTCTATTTGGAAGCTAGAGGAGAGCGTAGAGAATGTTCCCTTCCCATCACCTGTACACTTCGGGGACAAGCTTGGAATGGAAAGTAACTCGATGAAGGCCGTATGCAGAGCACAGAGTAGACCCCAGGGGCCGGTGCACTGGAGTTGGGAGCAAGGCTGCTTACTTAGCGTGGGACTTGGGCAAATGACTTCCCATCCCTGTGCCCCGTCTCCTCATCTGCAGGGTGCACAGGGCTGTGATTGGGGTTAGTGAGGTGACCTGCAAAGTGCTCACTAAATGTCACCTCTTAGGATTCACTATTTTCTGACTCTAAATTGCAAGGTCTTCAGGTTTCTTTACCATCAAAGATTAAGTGGCACTTGGTATAATTTTCATGTTGTGTGTCTCATAGTATTCTAATTTCTTGATAGCCTGTTGTTTGGAAGAGGCAGAAATGATGAAATATTAAATTAACCTCAACACGTTATTCCTTAAAAATACCAAGAATAACTAAGAATTTAATTAACCCCGTAAATTGGTAGATGCCACAGTTTGAGGGAAGTGCGTGGGGGGGGGGGTGTGTGTGTGCACGTGTGTGCGTGTGTGATTCCTGCTACTAGGAAACTACTCTAGATTCCGTGAAATGGCTGTTGTATACCGTATGCCTGTGTTCATTTGCGTGCCATGCCACAAATATTTGGTTAACCTCTTTTTGAATTTCCGCTTCCCTAAGGACCCTTTTTCGGATATTCTGTTACTTGTCCCGCATCTTTCCCCATCAGATGTACTATATATTTATGTACTATATAACTCTGCTGAATACATAAAAAGAGTAAGATATTTCTCTTCCCCCAAGAGTCTTTGCCCCCTTGGGGACAATTCACTGTCTTTGAGAATGCATGCTTTAAGGTGAAGCGAGTCATATTTCCATTATAGCATTTTTCTGCAAATTTTCAAAGTAATAGGAAAGATATAGAACAAAAGTGTTTTCCTTTTTCTTTTCTTTTTTTAAACATGAGGTTTATGTGCCTTTGAAGTCATGCATTTTAAGTACTAAAGTAGGCTCTGGAGTGCAGTAATTCTCCAGTTACATTAAGTAATAGCTGTAGGGGCAGGCACTGGACACACCAAAGACCTTGGTCTCTGTGACCTCAGAGTCACCAGGTGCACAATTGTGCAGCGTGCTTCATTTTGTTTAAAAAACAAAAATACGACAGGGCAGGAGCACCTGGGTGGCTCGGTGGGTTGAGTGCCTGTCTCTTGATTTCAGCTCAGGTCGTGATCCCAGGGTCGTGGGATTGAGCCCTGTGTCGGGCTCCACACTGTGTGGAGCCTGCTTGGGAGTGTATCTCTCTTTCTCCCTCTAGCCCTCTCCCCCCTTTCAGGTGCTGTCTCTCTCAAATTAAAAAATACATATATTTTAAAAAATATGACAGGACATATAATTTCTCCAGTTTAAATTTGAAGCCTTTTGGGGGAAACATTTTTTTAATGTTTATTCATTTATTTTTGAGAGAGAGAGAGAGAGACAACAGGGGTGGGACAAAGAGAGAGGGGGAGACACAGAATCCAAAGCAGGCTCCAGGCTCTGAGCTGTCAGCACAGAGCCCAACACAGGGCTCAAACTCATGAACCATGAAATCATGACCTGAGCTGAAGTCGGATACTTAACCTACTGAGCCACCCAGGCTCCCCGAAACATTGGAATTTTTATGGAATAAAGAAGAATTCTTAAGACTGCCTGATTTGTGTTGGTGCCCCATGTCAGTGGGGACCCTGTCAGTGAAGATCAGTTCTGTGCACCAGTGTGATTTCTGGATATTCAGTTCTATTTGAGTCCCTGATAAAATATAAAAGTCTTTAAGAAATGTTTAATAAAAATTAGTTGTGGTAAAATACATATAACATCAAACTTACCATCTTGACCATTTTTAAGTGTTAGAAATCTTTCAATGTAAGACATTTTCAAGATTCTGAAAATAGAGAAAAAAATTTCACATAAACAACTTCATAAGAATTAATTATAAAGCATTTTTTCAACTGTTTTAAGTGTTGAATTGTTCAGCCTGATAATTTATACTTGTGTTGAATAAATAAGCGAAGGGATGGGAGGATATCATCGTACTAATACGTCTGTTAGTAAGGCTGGCCTTCTCATTTCTTCAGGTGGCCGTCAGACCCAAGAGCAGAGAACTCAGAGAAATGTAATAAATGTACCTGCAGAAAAACGCACAGAAAATGGCGTAAGTAATAGCGAATCAAATTGAAGTTTTTAAATTGCTTTTTACAGGTACTAATGGGGTTGGATTATAATTCACTTTTAAAGAACTCCTTTGGGGGGTAGAAGTGTCATTTCCATGGAATATTTCCAAACTTGTGAAGTTCTGCAGCGTCTCTGGTGGTCTTACCGGTTCTAACAGTGTGGCCCGTGCACAGCTGAGCGGCAGCAGCTTTCCTCAGTGCGTGTGACAGTGACCCGGGCCCTGGGAGCGATGGCCTCCGTGTCTAAGAGGTGAACGGGCAGACTTGCCTCGTGCTTCATGTTGATGTCTTAATCCTTCTGTCAGGCTCTGAAAGACAAAATGGTTGGTGAGTTGAAGTCTTCCTCATCGTCGCCTCCAGCGGAGAGGACTTCCTTCGTCAGATGGCGTGGCGCAGGGGAGACCAGGCCTGACGGGTGGGGAGGGAGGGCACGCGTCCCCGTGGGGGAGCAGCGTTAGGAAATGTTGGCGTGTGCTGCGAGTGTGAGCGGAAATGAGGGCGTGGAGGTGAGTGAGAGCATGATGAAGAACGAGAGGGGTTTTTGATGTGATCTTTCTGGAAATCTTAGTAATGACTTTTCCAAATGATCTTCGGGCTAGAGAACTCGCGTCTTTTTCTGGCTCTGCCACCAACTAGGTGCGTGACCTTGGGCGAGTTACCTCCTGGCACAGAGTTTGCACGGCCAGACGTGGGGAAAGAGCACACGGTCCGGAGCGTGGAGGGCCCATAGTCCCACATGGGCTTTAGAACCTTCTAGCTAGAATACTTACCTGGCAGGGGAGACACCATGATCAGGAAGGTGGTTTTCCCAGGGCGAGGCTTGCCCATTGCACTGCGGGCATGCTGACCCCTGCGATTTCCCCAAATGTGGGAAACTCGACTGCATAATTTGTGGTAGTGGGGGACTGCGTTCGCGCTCTCCAAAAAAAAAAAAAGAACCTTCTAGCTAGCTAAATTTGAGCAAGTGGCTTTGCCTCTCTACTTGCCAACTTAGTATGACTGAAATGTGACTTTTGTTTTTTTATGGGCTACTGTTGTGACTTTAGGTGATCTCCTCCTCTCTCTCTCTCTCTCTCTCTGTAAGATGAGGTTGTTAGCGCCTTTCCCCTTTTTTCCACTTCGCTTTCCCTCCTACCTTCTAGCTCATGCGGTTATACTTCTATGTTGTCGAGGTTGGTAATATTTGTGCTGTTGTCTAAGCCTCTTGAAAACCATTCAGTAGTGTTTATTATTTTAGATTCTGCAGAGCCAGATGGTATACTAGATTCTATTTTCTTTTCCTTGCCTCCAACCTCATAATCCTTGTGCCACTCAGAACTCTTCCTGATGTCAAGGGTATGGATTCTCCTTCCTTAGCCTCCAATTTCTAAAGGCCGTTCCACAAATCCTCTCCTCCTGCCTTCAAATCTAGAGCCTCTGTGAGGTTCTGCCAGGCATATCTGCTTCAGGAAGTCTCAAGAAATAAATGGCCAGACCCCAGTAAATGGGCAGTACTTTTGGCTCGGTGAGTCTGGGGTGGGCCTGGAAAGCTCCCCATATGACCGTGTTGCCCTGTCTGGTGTGAGAAACTCCAGGTTACATGCATACGCTGTCATAAGCATTCAGAACTTGTGCAGCCGAATTGCGAAGATTCTTTTGAGTTCTAAGATTGCCCGTGACCTGAACTTCAGGGAAGGATAAATCTATTGAGTGTTAGGTGCTCTGTATCGAAGTCGGGGTTGTGCATATGATACGGGGAAGCGACTCAGAAGGAGAGAATTCCAGTCCTAAAGTGACTTCTGGTGTTTTCACGTGATGGGTCTGTGATCTTTTCCCTGATGAAGTTGTTTCTTCACGGAGAGATGATATTTCTGTCTCAAGATCAACAAAACTGAAACCTGACAGCAAAATTAAAAATGTGTCTGTAGCCTTTATGTGAGTTTTTAATTAGAGGAAGGCAGAGAGCCGTCGGGGGATGTAACTTTGCACTGGCAGCATCACATCAAAGACGCTGCTGTATTTTATGGCACACACGCCTGCCTGTTAAGCCCAGTAACGCATTACATTTGCAGAGTCCTTACTGTCTACAAAGCACTTTCACGTGCAGTTTTAAAGTTCATAAGATGTTAAAAACCTCTTTCTTCCAAACTGTTTTGTATATACCCTGGACAGAGAACCCTCTGCTCTGTGGGCTGCAGCGTCCAGGAGTAGATCAAGCAGCAGCTGCAGGAGGAGGGTGTGTAGGCTGAAAGAGGACAGGAAACCGAGTTGCTATGATTCGTGCCCATGAGCAGCTGCTGGGGCAAGAAGGTGGGGACTTCCGCTGTCCAAAAGTCGCAGGTCAGCAAGTCAGGTTTTCTGAGAAAGAAATGCCCAGACCACTGGCCTTTCGGCTCAATGAGTCTGGGAACCTCCAGGCTACATGCACACACTGTCTTAAGCATTCAGAACTTACTTGTCCAGGGGCGTCTTGGGGGCTCAGTCGGTTAAGCCTCCAGCCCTTGATTCTGGCTCAGGTCACGCTCTCACGGTTTGTGAGTTCAAGCCCTGCGTCAGGCTCTGTGCTGACAATGCAGAACCTACTTGGAATTATCTCCCTCTCTCTCTGCCCCTCCCTCTCTCTTTCCCTTTCTCAAAATAAACTTTATTTAAAAATAAAAAAGAACTTGTCCAACATCTTTGGAGATCTGGTTTAACTATGTAATATAAAGGCAAGTGGATTTTTTTCCTCATTGTATATATTTGTGTCAGGGCTCCCCAGGCCCACCCCTAGTTTCAGTGGTTTACCAGGAGGACCCACAGGACTCGGGATCTAGCTGTGCTCACGTCTGGGATTTCCTGTGTGAGAGGACACAGAGTTGTGTGGGACAAAGTCTGAGGACACCAGGCACCAGCTTCTAAGAGTCCTTCCCCGGCGGAGCCACACGGGATGCACTCAGTCCTCCCAACCACCAGCTAGGACGACAGGTGCGACACATTGTCGACCAGGGAAGCTCAGTAGAGCCCCAGTGCCCGGGGTCCCTACTAAGAGCCAGTCCTGTGGGCAGCCTCTCTGTAGCAAATAGGAAAGCACCAGACTCCCAGAAGGAAGCAAGTATTTAACACAAACCATATTACTCGCACAAACATTTTAGGTTCAGCGAGCCTCTCGTCACTTCTGGGAATGGTGGGATCCCTCCCCAATCTGAGTTCCCAGAGGGCAACCCAGGGCTTGCCTTTAAGCAGGCCTGTTAGGAGAGCGGTTTGAGGTCTGTGGTGTGGATGCTTCTGTCCAGCACCGTTTCACGTAGGTGTCCTGGGAGTGCTTTTTCCTGTTTTCTCTGTGAGTCAGTTCCTGCTCTATTCCAGTACGTGTGGTAAGCTGCTGAGGCCAGTTGATCCGTCCCCTGCCCCCCACTTCTAAGCGCTTTGTAGTTTTAGCTCCTGGATGTGGGTCCGTGATGTACTGTGAGTTGATTTTTGTGTATGGTGCATGAAGTAGGGTCTGGATTTGTTCTCTTGCCTGTAAAAATACCTAGTTACCCTTGCAGCATTTGGTGAAAAGACTGTTATTCCCCACTGAATTGTCTTGGCACCTTTGTCAAATCAAAATTAGCCATAAATGTGAGAGTTTATTTCTGGAAGTATTTGTTATTAATATTGTGACTTGGTCCCCCTGTGTAACATATGGTACCTGGGACTCACCTGTGCCTCGTGTCTCCAAATCAAGTAACATTTCAAGTGTCTAGAGAATAAACTTGCAGGTTCCACGTCTAGAGTCAAAGGTTGCCAGTTTCAAGACGTAACTCTTGTATGATGCACCTGGGACTGTCCAGTCTCCCCTCGTCTAGTTCAAGTGTGTCTCAGGTCTGCTAGGGTGCTTATTTTGTGGCTGCTGTCTGTTCTCTTCTGACCATTTTTGTTGTCTCCTCTCCTGTTAGTTTATTTCTGTGGTTTTATGTTATTTGATGCCAAAATCCCTTTACTGTCATGTATTGGTTTGGGGATTTAAGGACATTAGGATTAAATAACCCTCCATTGTAAGCAAGATGAGGTGTGGATTTCTTTCAGTTTTCCCTGTTGGGATTTGTTGAGTATACTGATTCTGAGTGTTACCATCTATCAACATGTCTGGAAAATTCTCTACTATTATCTGTGCAGGTTTTTCTTCTTCCATATTCTTATTTTTGTTTTCTGGAATGCTTATTAGACATGTTATATCTTTCATTTTATTCTCCTTTTCTCTTAATTTTAATGTTTTATTCTTGAGAGAGAGAGAGAGAGAGAGAGAGAGAGAGCGAGAGCACGTGAGCAGGGGAGGGGCAGAGAGGGAGACACAGAATCGGAAGCAGGCTCTAGGCTCTGAGCTGTCAGCCCAGAGCCTGAGGCGGGGCTCGAACTCACTACCCGTGAGATCATGACCTGAGCAGAAGTCGGAGGCTTAACTGACTGGCCACCCAGGTGCCCCAATTTCTCTCTTTTTTTAAGTTTATTTTTGAGAGAGAGAGAGACAGAGAAAGAGACAGAGTGGGGGGAGGGGCAGTGAGAGAGGGAGAGAGAGAGAGAGAATCCCATGCAGGCTCTGTGCTGTCAGGGCAGATCCCAACATGGGGCTCAATCCCATGACCCTGGGATCATGACCTGAACCAAAATCAAGAGTCGGACGCTGAACTGACTGAGCCAGCCACCCAGGCACCCTGCTTACTTTCTCTTTTATGTTTTTACTTTCTTTGTCTCTTTATGTTGTGTTCTGGGTAGTTTCTTAGGATATATATTTCAGTTAATGAATTGTGTCTTTACTTGTGTTTATTTGGCTGTTTAGTATATATAATGTACTTTAAATATTATTTATTATAAAAAAACAAGACACAGTCTGGGAGAAAATACTTGCAAATCTTATATCTGACAAAGGACTTGTATCCAGAATATGTAAAGAGCTCTTAAAACCCAATAAGAAAATAAACAACCCAGTTTAGAAAGAAACAGATAGGGGTACCTGCCTTGAGATTCTCTCTCTCTCCCT